AAGCAGAATGAGTGCAAGTCTCTGTGTTCAAACCACAGCACTGAAAAAAAAAAAAAAAGAGAAAAACAGGAGAGAAAGAAAGCAAGAAAGTACAGAAAAGTAAAAGGGTCATTATGGTACACAAAATAGAAAATATGAGATTTTCATAAAATACCAAAAACTTTGATCAACAGTCACTATGTATTTGTAAATATTAATGTCTTTTGGATTCTCATACCCCAGAATTCCAGGGATTCTGGCAAGAAAACATGGACCTAATAAGTATAAATCCATCTGTCCTGCCCTGCACAAAGCGAATGTATTGTGCGCGGTGGGTCCAGTTAGGAAGATGACATGGGGTGTGTGTCTGCCTCACCCCCTCCGCGTCTGGGACCTCCGCTGTCTGGAGCTTCCATGTTCTGTAGTCTGCACTGGCACCTACGAATTAGGATTGCTCATAAAGTGAGGGTGCAGAGACCTCTGACCCCCCTGTTCCCCGGCTCCATGGGCTGTATGGGAGGTGTGGGTGTGGGACCAGGCCATGAGCCAGGTGAAATCTTGGCAGGGTCTCTAGGAAGTCTGCATTTCCAGGGAAGATGGATTGGTCCTTTCATCTCCTCTGTGTCCATTGGCAGAATAAGTGCTCATCCCCTGACTCCTGGGGTTCAGAGTCACCGACAGGTTGTGTGCGATGATTTCTCTGAGAAGCTCTGTAAAACGTCTACTCTCATGAAATGGAAGACCCATATAAGAACTTGGATTTATTCATTTGCTTGTTTGTTTATTATTTAGTAGTACTAGGATTTGAACTCAGAGTTTTGTGTTTGCTAGGATATTATTACTCTACTACTTGAGCCAGGCCTCAAGCTCTTTTGGTTCTGGTCATTTAATTTATTTTTGTGCCAGCCCTGGTGCTTGAGCTTGAGGCATGGGTGCTGTCCCTTAGCTCTTTTGCTCAAGGCTAGAGCTCTACCACTGGAGCCACAGCTCCACTTCTGGAATTGGACTTTTTCTACCTGGGCTGGCTTGCAGCCATGATCCTCAGATCTCAGCCTCCTGTGTAGCTAGGATTACAAGTGTGAGTCACCAGCACCTGGCAACCAAAAAATTCAATTGTGAAAGTTTTATGTGATGGCACAAGCCTGTAATCCTTATCTGTCTACTTGGGAGACAGAGTTCGGGAGGTAACAATTTGAGGACAGCTTTGTGGGGGGGGGTTCACTGGACTCCAATGGCTGAGTAAGGTGGTGCACATCTATTGTCCCAGCTGCACAGAGTGCACAAGGGTTAGGTGCTGAGGTTCACATGGTCATGCCAATGATTCAGTGAAGCACAAACAGGAGGGTCACAGTATGGGTTGGACATTAAGCACTAGACCCTGAGTTCAAACTCCACTACACCAAAAAAATAATGTCAGAAACCATATAATATTTTTAGCACAATGTTTAGATGAACAGAATACTTTGTTGTTTGTTTTGGGTGGTTCTTGACTTTGTAGTCAGGTCACATGCCTCCATCCTAGCTGTTTGCTGGCTGTTGTGCAGATTGAGTCTGGCAAATTTTTCTGCTTGAGCCAACCTCAGATTTTGATCCACCAGATTTCAGCCTTTTGAATATCTAGGGTTATGGGTATGAACCACCAGTGCCTTGATGAACTAAATATCTTAAAAACACCTTTCCTAATCATGTAAAATATTTAGCTACTGTGTAAAAAATAGCTACTTTCTGTCAAATTAAGTTACGTGGAGTTATAGCTATTAAAGTAATTAAGATATCTTTTTCTAGATAAAGAGTTAGGGAGAACTGTATCTAGATAGATACAGATATAGTTACCTATCTATAGAGATATAAACTTCTATAGATATATTGATACAGATATAGATGTATCTGTTTAGATAGCTTAATTACCTTTTAATGGATGTGATTCCATAATACTTCCTTTATGAAGATTTATCCTTAAGACCATTTAAATGAATTTGGTAGCATCTACTCTTCACACTGCCTAAGTGTTTCACATTATTATGAGTTATTATCAAGATATTTAGATAACTATACCTGTATCTATGTCTATACTTATTATCTATTTATATCTATATATTTACCTAAATAAGCAGGTAGAATAATAAATATCTGGATAGAATAGTAAATATCTATGTAGATAGGTGTGTAGGTAGACAGATAAATAGGTAGACACATTTTTAATACTTCTAAAAGAAATTTGCAGAATACAAAAAGTATCTTAGTTTTATTAACTTATGTGGAAAATATGTATTCTCTCTTAAAACAGGAGTCTACAATGACTATCTTGATGAAAATAATGAGAACAGTTAGTCTGAGGGGCCTACTTTCTCTCTGTGGGGGTGACACTAGTGTTGAATTAACATAAAAACTTCACCTCTCTAAGAAACAACTTTGGTGTAAAATCCAACACAAGACTTATGTGAAATTATCTGGCCTCGTTCTCACATTGCTACCATCCTTTAAACCTAATTTCTCTGCCTTCTAAATTAAGAACCTGTTTATTTTCATGGTCTCCCCTTAGAATAGCAGGGTATTCTAAAATTCCATAGCTCAGTGTTTTCCCCAGCAAAGGTTACCAATTACATTTATAATGGAAAATGTTTGCCTGGGACCCGATGACGTACAGAAATGGGCTTACTTAGCACTGTCATGAGGCCTGACTCACGCTTATAATTTCAGAGCAGAACAATTGTGGTTACAGAATACAACCACAGAAACACAACTAAGTGAAAAAATAAAAATAAAAAATCTTAAGCAATGTTTACAGCAAAGTAATTGTGATACAATGTATTCTAGTTGGGTATGTAAAACATGTATATCACATATATGAATTATTTGTGCAATTATTTTTTAATTTTACTTTTTGAACTTCAAAAGTTTGTACAAGGGATTACATTTTAAGGTGGTCATTTAAGTGTTCAGGGCTTTTGGATCAGTCTTCTCTTCTATCTCTTCTATCTTCTCTTCTATCATTCTACCCCCAACTTGTGTCTTCTTTACACCCCGAGACTCATTTCACATTTCCAACTTCATTTTTGGAAAGTGGAAACAAAAACTATAGTCATTAAAAGCTTCATATTGATCAACATTTACTAGATAAGACCTGTAGCATATGACTCTTTCTTGGAATTGGAAAACTAGAGATTATATTAAAAAAAATCAAATGAGCTGGTACTGGTGGCTCATGCCTGTAATCCTAGCTACTCAAGAGACTGAGATCTGATGATCATGGTTCAAAGTCTGTGAATCTCCAATAAACTACCAAAAAAGCCAATTAGAGCTGTAGCTCAACGTGGTAAAGTGCTAGAGCCTCAGCAAATGAAGCTTAGGGATATCATCTAGGCAAGCCAAGGGCCAGCAATAAACCCAAAAAATAACAAAACAATACAAAACAAAAAAACTCAATGCAGGTTTTTATTTTATATGTATTTTATCCATATACTTAAATATATAAATATATGTACATTGTGTGTGTGTATATATAAATAAATTTCTGAACCTTTATTTATATATCACTGATAATACAATATATTTTAAGTTATCTAAAGTAAAGAAAACCAAAAAGGACTCATAACCTAAATTTTGTCTAACAAGCGATCAAACATTGTCTTTACTTTGAAACATGAATACACAGGCATAGGACCTGCATGGGTTGGTGCCATAGTTTCATGATCTTCAAGCAAGTTATTATTGTCTTAAGTTATTGTTGTTTCTCCACCTTTGCTCAGAAAGTGTACTCATTTCTTCATTATGGATTACTTCCCATAAAGTGGAAATGCCACATCTCAGTTTGCTGCTTGCTTTACACTCTGGATTCCAGAACAAACAAGACATGGATTGATTTGATTTGATGCACCATGAGAGCTGGGTGTAAAGTGGGTCACACTTGTAATTCTAGAGTCTCAGGAGGCTGAGTGCTGAGGATCCAGATTCAAAGCTGCCCAGGGAGAAATGTTTGTGAGACTCTTATCTCTAATTTATCAGCAACTAGTTAGCAGTTGAGGGGTGACTCAAGTCATAGAGAGCCAGCCTAGAACAAAAATTACCAACCAGGAATGTAAGGGAATTTAAGCCCTGGGTAATGCGTGTGTGTGCTTGAGCACACACACACACACACACACACACACACACACACACACACAAAATGAAGTATGAGAAAAGTCTTTGCGTACTGGAAAATATAATATCTAAGTGTAATTTCAGCAAAAAGCAAAATATGGATAGCTCACAATGAGCAAATTAGCATTTCGATGTATGTTTCATGTGCTTCCTTTTTATTTATTCTGTTTCCAACAGGGTTTAGATAAATGACAGTCCTTTAGGGGGAGGAAGATAGAATTTCACAAGCTAAATATGTCTTCTTACTTTTGTGAAAGCCAACTCAATGAAATCTATCCAGTGAAAAAAATTAAAAGTCTCACCTCTCAATCTATATAACATAAAAGATGCCAGGACACCAACAAAGACAACAAATTAGTGAAACTATTTGAGTATATTCACTATGTCATTTTCAGGAAGTTAGAATTTTCCCAAGATGTTGAATTATGTTGTTTTCTAAATATGAAGCATATCTTTCAAACAGAACACCCAAATAAGATTTTTGATATTATTATTTTGATTCTTCATGTCAAATAAAATGTTCTTATGTTTCCTTTCACTCAGACTAGAGTATTACATAGAGTTACATTGTGAGCCAGGGGCCAGTGGCTCATGCCTCTAATCCTAAATCTGAGGATCGTGGTTCAAAGCCAGCCAGGGCAGCAAAGTCTATGAGACTTTTCAATAAACCAACATAAAACCAAAAGTGGCACTGTGGCTCAAGTGGCAGTGCACTAGCCTTGAGCTGAAGAGCTCAGAGAGAACTCCCAGGCCCAGAGTTCAAGCCCCATGACTGAAAAAACAACAACAACAACAACATACACACACAGAAAAACATTGTGATCATATTAATTTATGTATAACTTTTTTGAAAAAAAACAAACAAATGTAATGTATTTTAGGGAAAATGTGTGAATCATCAGTCAATTACTGTGAATGCAACCCATGCTTCAATGGTGGCTCTTGCCAAAGTGGCATGGATACATACTACTGCCATTGTCCATTTGGTGAGTACAATTTGTTTTTAATACGTAAATATATATATGTATATATTTTAAGTTTGTAATTGTTATTATAAAGGTGATATACAAAGGAGTTATAGTTACAGATGTCAGGTAAACAATACATTTCTTTTTGGACGGTGTTATCCCTTCCCTCACTCTCTCCCAGTTAGAATTTGCTTTTTAATGGAACAGGGAAAATTGTTCAGATTGGTTTGAGGAGGGAGGGATGGGGGAAGGGTGGTGAGGGATAGTGGTGGAGGGGATAAGTCTGATTAAGATACATTATATATATAGATGAACATGTCAAAATTACAAAAAAACTCGTACAAATAATTGATGCTAAAATGGGGGGAGGAATAAAATAAATATCAATCTAGCTGTCTCCTGGTAGCTCATATCTGTAACCCCAGTTACTAAGGAGTCTGAAATCTGAGGATTAAGGTTCAAAGCCAGACCAGGCAGACCAATCTGTGAGACTCTCATTTCCAATGAATGAGCAGAATGCTGGAAGTGGAGAAGTGTTTCAAGTGGTAGAGCACCAGCCTTGAGAGAATTAGTCAAAAGAGAGGGTGAGGCCTTAAGTTCAAGCTCCAGTATTGGCATAAATAAAAAAAATATTTTGGCACACAGGCCAACAGTTTTGTTTCCTTATGGTCATCAGTAATTAAGAAGATACTGTTTTACACAGTGATTATAAAAATATAAAATTATATTTTGTCTGTTGTGGGGCTTGAACTCTGGGCCTGGGTATTGTCCCTGTGCTCTTCAGCTCAAAGTGAGCACTCTACCTCTTGAGCCACAGCACCACTTCCAGTTTTCTAGTGGTTTATTGGAGATCAGAGTCTCATGGACTTTTCTGCCTGGGCTGGCTTTGAACCATGATCCTCAGATCTCAGCCTCCTGAGTAGCTAGGATTACAGGCGTGAGCCACCAGTGCCCATGTAATAATATAAAATCTTAAATATTCAGCACTTTAAAAATACTATTGGATATCCTGCTTCAGTTATTTCTAGAAAACAGATCCATTCAAGAAAACTGAGTCTCATTTGTCTCTGGGAACATTGTTTTTTCCAAAGATTTACAGATATTTGTTTTTAGTCTACAACTTATTCATGAAATACCCCTCTGAGACTATTTGACATCATTGTCTATTTTTAATCTCTAGAAACAGTTAACATAGTTCTTTGCTTTTTCTTCCATTAATTAAACTACATGTATTAGAAGGGTTTAGTCATTTGACATTCATTTTCATGAAAGGCTCTTATTAGATAATTTGTGTAACTAAGAAAGATTTGTATTTAGAGTTAGGCACTGGTTGCTCATGCCTGTAATCTTAGCTACTCAGGAGGCTGAGATCTGAGGACCAAGGTTCTAAGCCAGCTAGGGCAAAAAAGTCTATGAGAGTCTTAGGTCCAATTAAGGAGCCCAGATCTGGAAGGACAGCTGTGGTTCATGTGGTAGAGCACTAGCCTTGAGCAAAATAGCCATGTGAGAGCTCAAACTCCTGAGTTAAAGCACACAGACACAAACACAGACACACATACACACACATACACACACACACACACATGTTTAGACTAGTGTGCTCTCTCAAAGAGACAGTTAGTCACCTTAGTGGAATGAAATAAAGGATTATTTTTCCAGGTCCCCAAATCTTACTCAACGCTGTGACTTCAAGGACAGCTTTGGTTTCAACAACACCATGATTACACACATTTGTGTTGATTCCATTGACTTAAAACTATTCACTTCACCACACACAGCCGTCTGGAATCATCTCCAGATGACCCACATTTTTCTCTGTTGTACATTTTACCATGGTAATAAGACCTGAGCAGCGAAGCTCATTTATTTTGGTTAAAAATATAACTTCATTTTGTAGTAACCAATAAAACGTAGTCATTCATTAAAAAACAAAAATTTATGACTCTTATCCGGTTATTTTTAAGTATAACATTAAAATGGTATTATAGAGAAACAATATAAAGGTAATTGTGAACCAAGTTCATGTTACAATGATAGTGAGGTCCAGAAATTGATTTACCCAAAGTCAAAATAATGAAATTATAATTCAAGTCTGTCAAAATAACATAGTGACTAGATCTTAATGTTAGCAACCAAAAATAATAGCTACAGAACCCTCCATTACACATTTATTTTCTCATCTTAAATGTTTATAACGCCGAGTGGATGGTTTACCCCCGTAATCCCATCTACTCAGGAGATGGAGAATAGAAAGACTAGCATGGAGGGACTGGGAAGGTAGCTCAGTGGTAGAGCACATGCCTTGCATGCATAAGGCCTTGATTTGATTCCTCAGCACCACATAAGCAAAAAGAAAAAAGCCAGAAGTGGCGCTGTGGCTCAAGTGGTAGAGCGCTAGCTTTGAGCTGAAGAGCTGAGGAACAGAGCCCAGGCCCAGAGTTCAGGCCCCACGACCAGACCCCCCACCCCAAAGAAAAAGGCTAGCATGGAAAAATGTTAGTGAGACCCCTTCTCAACCAGCAAGCTGGGCAAGGTGGCATGTGTCTATAATCACAGCTACTTGGCAGCTTTAGGTAGAAGGATTGAAGTTAGAAGTCAGCCCAAGCAAATAGCACACTACCCTATCTGAAAAAAAGAAATGAATTAAAACGTGATAGATAGGGCCTGGCTCAAGAAGGAGACTAGTTCCTAGCAAACCTAAGTTCAAACCCCCGTACTGGCAAACACAAATGCTTATTTGGTAGTAAAATATACACCAAAAGGAAATCAGGTGCCACTTACTTCTTCTGATGCCTCTTCATTTTAATGTTCTGATTTTTTATGTTTTAATGTTCTGCTTTCTCATATGGCCACAAAAAAGCTTCATGGTTGCACTTTGGGAATGGTGGAAAAAGTAATTTGAGCGGAATGGGGAAGGATGACTGTCAGATGACTGACAGAGGTGTTTACAGTTTGAGAAATCCTTTTACAAAGCAAAATTAATTAATGGGAAACTGAGAGAGGGTACTACTGCAAGATTGCTACCAAATACTCCCATTTCTCCACACTGCCAATCACCCCACTTTTCCCCATTGCCAGACATCCCACCTCCCTCATGGCCAGTCACCCCAGGGACACAGAAACCACAACTATAAATTAAAGTGGGCACAGGCGGCCCATGTCCACTTTAATTTCTCCCTTCTACCTGCAAAGGCACACTCACTACTGCACTACTGGAAATCAGACATGGTCAGCTGACAAGCTAGGGAAGAAAACAAACACCTGAAATACCAATTTTTAATTTGAGACTGCAAAGAGGGCGTTAAAGGAACAAGCATTCTCCTTCTCAAACTCAATGTGGGTGAACCACATAAATAATAACAGTTGATGGAATGCCTCAAAATAGCTGTGGGTCATTACACATGCATCCCATAAAACTGTACTTTAACTGTTGTTTTTAATTTGGGAAAAATTTGCTCTGTTTACCTTTCCATCAGTAAAAAAAAATATGCTCTTTGGATCTGAAAAGTATTTTTAGTGGCTTAGATTTTTTAAAAAAAGGTTTAGAAAAAACAATGTGCTTCACACTTTATAAGAGTTGATTCTATGTAATCGTCAGTTCTTAGAATTGCATTGCTCAATACATATTATACATAAGCACAAATGCTATATATGTATATTCACATTGTGTACTTTATATAAAATTACTTCCATAAGAGATACTTATGTTTGTGAATATATGGCATTTGTTATGTATATGCACATAACAGTGTACATTAGTGTGCATATATTATACATAATTATTATACATTTATAAATTACTCTAATATAGAAAATTGTGGGTGCATGTCCTTCTTAGGGTAAACTTATAATTTCCTTTGACCTTCATTCTAGATTTATTTCATAGCATCCTACTTAGAAGAACAATTTAAGATGTTATTAATATATTTAAAGGCAAGAAACAACTTTTGTATAGAAACAATAAAAACCCTTAATATTTTTAAAGGCAAGAACTATATATTCTATAAATTTTATAAATATTTTATATTTAAAATATGTATCAGTTTGACTAGCAATGTAAAGCATCTGCAGTATCTATCTAACTATGTATATATTGTTTTTAAACTATTTTTATAAACAGTTGCAGCTCACTCAAGCAGAAGAGACCTAAAAAAACACAGGATTTTCTCTGATAATCTATTTCAGTCATCCACTTTATTGTTGCTTTTTATTTAACTTCACTTACTGTTCCTGAATGAAGAAATAGCATGTATATAATATAATATGTAATTTAAATAAATATGTATAATTTGTTGAGGTTTTATAAATATATATGAAATGTAAATATTGTGTGATAATATGAAATTATGATTTAAAAACATATCTGTACTATATTATATAGATTTCTTCGAACTGAAATTAAAGTTTAAAATAAAGTTTTAGATAAGTAGATACAGATATAGATAAATTGATGGATATGAATTACTTATTTGTAATGAATATAAATATTATCTCATCCTGGATAGAAAATTATAAAATAAATGACACCAGCTTTTCTAGCAGCATGTAGGCTACTTGAAAGAATGTTTTGATATAAAATGTTACTAGACTACACCAGAATATTAGACTTCAATTTTTTTTCTGTTTTCCCCATGGAAAACAGACAAACTTTGAATACTTTGTTATATAGTAGTAATGATTTTTTGAGCTTAATAATCTTTTGATTTTTTAAAATTAATGCATTTATCAAAAAATTAAGCCAAAATGAAAATGAACAATTCTTCTCTTCACATGAGTTAATTTTCCAATCATTTTCTGTATGCAATCTCCTAATATTTGTTGGAAAAGGACTTTTGGCAAAGCATTGTAATTTTTCATGTCACATAAAAGATCAGCATAAGCAAATATAAAGGCTTTCATATACACAAACAACAAACAAACGAAGTTATTTAATAGTATCCTGTTTCAAGTGATCTCCAAAGAGGGCATAAAATAAGAGATGGAATTTAAGACACTTAATGATTGTTTCCCTGATTCTGTGACCCTTAAAAATACTATTTGTATGGGGACTAAATTTATTTAACATCTTCAGTTGTAGTAAAATTGTTTTTAAGCACTATGCACTATAAAGAAAGTCTCTTGGATACTACAATATATTCCAGCCTTACAACCACAAACAAACTCATTTTGAAAATGTTTTTGCAAGGACAAAGTCACTTCAAACATGTTCTATTACACAAAATTCTCACTTAAAAAAATGGAACAGAATTAAAATTATTTCCAATTACATGAAAGTTTATCTTCTCTGGCTTAGGCTTCAAAGAGTATCAATTTGATCTATATCATTTTAGTTCACTATTGTAAAATGCAAACATTTTAGTCAAAATAATTTAATAAAACATGTCTGGAATTTAATCTGTCGGATGTGTCAATTTCCTATATGCAGGTGTCTTTGGCAAACACTGTGAGCTGAACAGCTATGGCTTTGAGGAGTTGTCATACATGGAATTTCCAAGCTTGGATCCCAATAACAACTATATTTATGTCAAATTTGCAACCATCAAAAGTCATGCATTATTGCTGTACAACTATGACAACCAGACTGGTGAGAGGGCTGAGTTTTTGGCCCTTGAAATTGCTGAGGAAAGACTACGGTTCTCTTATAACTTAGGCAGTGGTACATACAAGCTCACCACCATGAAGAAAGTGTCAGATGGACATTTTCACACTGTGATTGCCCGGAGAGCAGGAATGGTAAGATTTCACCTTACAATAATAATCTTATTGTCATATATCTGCTAAATTCATCCCTTAAATAAAGTATAAAAGAACCTATTAGTTGAGTGAAATTATATTTGCACTTGACCAATTGAATTATAAACTTCAAATAATGGCTTGCAAGTAACATTTTTCTTTTGCTCACATGTCCCAAATAAATAAAAAGTAATGGGGACTGGTGGACCACTACTGTATTCTTAGCTACTCATGAGGCTGAGATCTAGAGGATCATGGTTTAAAGCCAGCCCAGACGGAAAAAAAATATCCAGAGAAGGCCCCTATGGGATTTTGAGTCCATTTTTAAATTTTCATTTTAATTTTTTTCTACAATTCAAAACAAATGTTTGGTTAGGAACTGGCAAAATCATTACTCTCAAAACTTTTAGTCATGTACAGGACAGAAATTTCTCAATTAACATTGAAACTGGTAGAAAAATTTGACAGGAACATTTGATCCTGAAGACTGAATGACACAAGTAACTATTTGAAAAAATCATGAATTCAATGATTTAGTTGCATCTCAAAATGTTTTTTTAAAAAAAAAAAATAGCCGGGGGCCAGTGTTCTACAGTTCTGTAATCCTAATTACTCAACACATCAAGATCTGAAGCTCAGAGTTCCAGGGTAGCCCAGACAGAAAAGTTTACAACATTCCATCTCCAGCAAAAAAAAGGTAGACTGGCGGTGTGGCTCAAGTGGTAGACTACCAAGTAAGAGTGAGAGTTGAGAGAGAGTGGGAGGCCCTGAGTTCAAGCCCAGGTAGATAGAAATAGAAATGAATTCTGGGCAGAGCTGGCCAGAGAGGTTCCCAGGGTCAGAGTTCACCAGGGACCCACTGATAACAATCTCATTCTCTTTCCACAGGCAGCCTCCCTAACTGTAGACTCCTGCTCTGAGAACCAGGAACCAGGGTACTGCACCGTCAGCAATGTGGCTGTCTCAGATGACTGGTGAGTGAAATTATTCTTTAGAACTTTATCTTACTTGAAATTTTAAACCACATGCCTTTTAAGTAATCATATTATTCTAAATATTACATAAATAGGTAAGATAATTCAGTCTCCTCAAAGGGATTTTCTTGTTGTCAATGAAAATAATTACTACTATAATTCTGTGTCACTTTTGTGTATTTTAAAAAAAAGACACTATAGGACAGTGACAAGAAGAGTAAAATGAAATAAAACAAAGAAGTTAAATGTTGGTATGGCATAGCCACAAAACACCCAAGCCCTGAGAACAGTGTGGGTTGGGATGATAAGTCTTTTAAACACATTATCTAAAAGACTGTGGACAATTAACATACTTTTCCTTAAATTTAAAGGCACCAGAAGCTTATAATATAGCATTAGCTTTTCAAAAACAAGAGTGAGAGCAAAACTCTCGTGGTGCATGCCTGTAATCCCAGCTACTCAAGCAGGCTATGATCTTAGGATGAAGGTTCAAAACCAGTCCAGGTATGAAAGTCTGTGAGATGCTTATCTCCAATTAGCCACCCAAAAAGCTGGAAGTGGAGGTGTGGCTCAAGTGGTAGAGTCCCAGCACAGAGCAAAAAGGTCAAATGGGACCCAGAAGCCCTAAGTTCATGTCCCAGTACTAACACACACACACACATACACACACACACACATGCACACAGACACATGTGCATATACCTATGCACACACACACACACACACACACTGTTAAGTAAGGTGGAGGTGACAGCAAACACAGACCTCTTTGTGCTATGTCTGGGGTGCACACATGTACCTTTTCCAGACAACACACTACTAGCCAATTATTGTTAATTCAACATGGTGACACATGTCAAACCTGCCATTGGCTTTTTGGTGGTTAATAGGTGATGAGTCCCATGACCTTTTCTGTCCAGGCTGGCTTTGAACTGCAATCCTCAGATTTCAGCATTCTGAGTTGCTAATTCCAGCCATGAGCCACCAACACCCAGCACAGGTGTTCTTTGGAAATGAGTTGTTTAACTGGAATCTACTTGGTTGTCACAAGCAGCTCTTCTCTCCTTTCTCACTCAGGACCCTGGATGTGCAGCCGAACCGCGTGACCGTGGGTGGCCTCCGATCCCTGGAGCCCATCCTGCAGAGGCCCGGGCATGTGGAAAGCCATGATTTTGTGGGTTGCATCATGGAGTTTGCAGTCAATGGGAGGCCTCTGGAGCCCAGCCAGGCCTTGGCAGTCCACGGCCTCCTAGACCAGTAAGGAGATTTTATGTCCTATATTTTAAAGGAAAAATGTAAAAGTGCGTGTAATTGAGCATCAAAAAAGATGAAGTTTCTCACACCTGTAATCCTAACTACTCAGGAGGCTGTGATCTGAGGACTGCAGTTCAAAGCTTTCCTGGATAGGAAAGACTCTGATATCCAATTAACCACCAAAAAGCCAGAAGTGGAACTATGGCTCAAGTGCTAGCCTTAAACACAAAGTTCAAGGACAGCACCACATCCTTAGCTCAAACCCAGAGCTAGCACAAAAACAATAATAACAAATGTTATATCAGTTAGTATTATCCCCACCTTTGGTCCTCAGCTCCACCGAGACCTGAGCTCCTCCCTGACCTAGAGTTTCTGCCATACAGATGGCCATTCCCTCTGGGCGTAGGCACACACTTAACTCACTTCCGCCCTCACTTCCTTCCACCTAGATCTGCCCACCGCTAGGATAGTGGCCTAAGCCATGTGTTCCCTCTCTCGGAGAGATATGGCCCCTCTAATAAACCTTACAATAATCTTTCACCTGTGCTGCAATCCGCATGGTCCCCTGCGATAGTTGTGAAGGATTCCTACAGCATCTAAATCCTAAAACATATTTTTTTAATGTTTTAAGTTTTAAATATTTATTGGTAGTTGGGGTTTAATTTGGCACAAAATGAAATATTAGTTGGAAAAATTAATATTTGGACTGTATGGAAGTATACAAGCATGCACATATTTTCTTTCTTTCTTTTATTTTGCTCATTCATGGGGCCTGAACTCTGGGCCTGGGTGCTGTCCCTCAGCTCTTCATGTCAAGGCTAGAGCCCTACCACTAGAGCCACAGTGCCACTTCCGGCTTTTTTCTGCTTATTTGGTGCTAAGGAATTGAACCCAGGGCCTCATGCATGCAAGGCAAGCACTCCACCACTAAGCCACTTTCCCAGCCCCCATGCACACATTTTCTTTACCTCACCTTGCACAGTAGTTGTGGAGGCTGAATGTGGTCAGCAGGTAGGTCAGAGGGTGAAGATGGCTGTCACATTGTGATACCTCAATGTCAGCTGTTACATGTACTTAAGACTCAGATTGACTAGGCACTAGTGGCTCACATATATAATCCTACATATTTAGAAGTGATATAATTTGGTGTTTACCTTTATTTTCTATAAACTGATAGTTTTATGTTACAAAAAAGAATAAAATGTCATTACTATCATTAGTCCAGGAGTAAAGAAAAATACAAAATGGAGGTTGTTAGGCATTGTTAACACTGTGGCATACTTCCTTCTATATTATTCCACTTTTAATTTCAATTTTTTTCTTCTTAAAAGTATAGCACCAGTGGTTAATGATTCTAATTCTAGTGACTCAGGAGGCTGAGATCACAGTTTGAAGGCAGCCTGGGAAGGGAAGTCTATGAGACTCGTATCTCTAATTAAGCACCAAAAAAAGCCAGAAATGGAGCCTGTGGCTCAAGTGGTAGAGTGCTAGCCTTGAACAAAAAAGTTAAGGGACAGTACCCAGGCCCTGAGTGCTGTATATAATATGCACACATACTTACACACACATACATATGTATAATATGTGTGTATTTGTGTGTTATATAGTGGCCAGGCACAGGTGGCCTGTAATCCTACCAACTCAGAAGGCTGAGATCTGAGGATCAGTTTAAAGCCAGCTCAGGCAATAAGATTCTTATTATCTTCAATTATGGCGAAAAGCTAAAAGTGTATCTGTGGCTCAAGTAGTAGAGCACTAGCCTAGAGTGGAAAAAAACGAAGCAAAAACATGAGGTCTTGAGTTCACTGTCGCCTGATAGGAAAAGAAACTTATTCCATGAATGCATGGATTTTTTTTCTTTATAACTTTTTTTTTTTAATTCAGGGCTCTGGTAACTGTCCCTAAGCTTTTTTGCATAAGGCTTGCATTCTACCACTTTAGCCACAGATCTATTTCTGGCTTTTTTAGTGGCTCATTGGTTAAGTCTCATGGACTTTCCTGTCTGGACTAGCTTTGAACCAGAATCGTCAAATGTCAGCCACATGAGTAGCTAGGATTACAGGCAAGTGCCTGGTATTTGTTGCTTTTACACTTATGCTTGCAACAATAACTTGAACGTGAACAGGCATTCTTCTATTGTGTGAGTAGCTTATGGACATGTGTAATCAAATTAAGCTGTTTAGCCTGGAACCAGTGGCTCAACACCTACAATTCTAGCTACTTAGGAGGCTGAGATCTATGAGGATTGAGGTTCAAAGCCAACCTGGGCAGGGAAGTCTTGTCTCTCCAATTAACTATAAAAAGCTGGAAATGGTGCTGTGACTCAAGTGGTAGAACATTAGCCTTGTGCACAAAAGCTCAGGGACAATTCCCAGGCCCTGAATTCAAACCCCAGGGTAGGTACACACACACACAAAAAAATCTAATCAAACTCTGGATGCTGGATTCTGGTAAGTAAAAGATTTCATTGACCATGTTATGCTGTTTTAGAAAGAACTAATTTAAGCCAGGTACTGATGGCTTACACCTGTAAATCCTAGCTACTTAAGATGCTGAGATGCAGAGAATTGAAATTGAAGCTAACCCAGGAAGAACAGTCCAGAAAACTCCATCTCCAAGGAATCAGCAAAATGCTGAAATGAAGGCTCTGTTTATGCTCAAGTGTTGAGCACCAGTTGTGAGCAAGCAAGTTGAGCCAGTGCAAAGCCAAAACTAGCTAGGACAGAAAGGTCCATAAGACTCCATTTCCAAAAACAAAAAAAACAAAAAATAGGCCTAAAAGCATGGTTCAGGTTGTAGAGTACCATGCATATGAGCTCAAGTCTGAGTTTGAACCTCAGTATTGCCTTTACAAACTATGTATTTAACAGAAATAATTACCTGGTTTGTTATTGCTTTATAAGATTTTTAAAATTAAATCCTCTCTTTAATATGAAGCAAATTATATGTTACAAGATTTCAATGTTGTAAGTTGAACTTAATAACCGAGTCTTGGAAGTTAAGTAGGTTAATTAGTTCATCTTAGTTTTCTCTTCTTTTGATTTTACCTTTTTTCTGGTCCTGGGGCTTGGACTCAAGGCCTGGGCTCTGTCTCTGAGCCTCTCTGTGCTTAAGGCTAGTGTTTTACCACTTGCGCCACAGTGCCACTTGTGGCTTTTTTTTTTTTTTTTTTTTAGTAGTTTATTGAAGGTAAGAGTCTCATGGACTTTCCTGTCCAGGCTGGCTTTCAACTGTGATCTTCAGGTCTCAGCCATGTTGAACTACTGGCACCTGGTATAAGTTCATCTTTTGTGTGTGTGTGTGTGTGTGTGTGTGTGTGCGTGCGCGCACACACACGCGCGCGCACCAGCACTGGTTCTCAAACTCATGGCCTGGGTGCTATCATTGAGCCATTTTTTTGTGTGTGCATAATTCTAATGCTCTACCACCTGGTCCACAGCTCCCCTTCCTACTTTTTGGCAGTTAATTGGAGATAAGAATCCTACAGACCTTTATGCCCAGGCTGGCTTTGAGCTATGGGTCTCAGATCTCAGCCCCTCATTAGGATTATAGGTATAAGCCACTGGTGCCCACCCAGCTCATCTATTTTTTTTATCAACCTCTTCCTCCCTGTTTGTATTTCATGGTTCTTCACTGTGCTTTTATTCCAGATGCCCCAGACTGGAAGGAGCCTGTACACGCACCCCTTGCCAGCATGGTGGCACCTGCGTGGACCACTGGTCCTGGCAGCAGTGTCGCTGCAGAGAGGGCCTGGCTGGGAAATACTGTGAGAAATGTAGGTGTCCAGCCCTGCTCACTGGGAACATATGCATCTGAATACACCACTGCGTCAGTAGAGCCAGGCCCTCATATTAAACATGCCTTCTTTCAACATACAACAGTTGGTCAAATACAGTAACATATTTAATTAGTTTCTTTAAACGAAAAAGAGTGACACCTTTGAAAGAATTATCACTGCATCTGACTCTTTCTGAATATATTATTACTTTGTGTGTTATCTTCAGGAATGCTAAGAATTTTAAAAGAATTTTCAGGTGGTGCTTTATTGTTGCTTATCATCTAGGGATATTCCTCTAGTTATTTCTTTAGTGGATTTACTTAATATGTATTATTTATAATATATATGATATGTTATATATATATTTACCATATATATTTATATATATGGGTATTAGATATATCCACTAGATCATTGAGTACTGAGCTAAAACTAGCACACAACAGCCACAAAATCTATGAAAGGGATGATATCCATTTTAATTTGCAGTGAACTAATTCATTTTGAATAATAACTTAAATTCTTTCATCAGTTCTTGTCTTTTATGCTCTGATTTTCTTATCATAAAGACAGTAATAATATCCAAACCATCATTAGAAAATGAAGTTTGGTGGTTTCCAGCTGTATATTACATTAGCAACCTCTAATGGGCCCTCTTTCATTAAGATTATATACATATATATCCACATATATATAATTTTTTCAAGTAAATTTTTAGTACTTAATTCAGTGGAAGTGTCTGATATCTGTTTGTGTATGTGTCAGTCCTGGGGCTTAATTCTAGGGCCTTGAACTTTGTGCTCAAGGCTGACACTTGAGCCACAGCTCTACTGTGAGCTTTTTGGTTGCTAATTGGAGGTAAGAATCTCCTAAACTTTTCTGCCAGGGCTGGCTTTGAACCTTGATCCTGAGGTCTCAGACTCCTGAGTAGCTAGGATTACAGGCATGAGCCAAGGAATTTTTTTATTAATTTTATTTTATTTTATTTGTGAACATACTGTACAGAGGGGTTACAATTACATGAGCCAAGGAATTTTTAAGTGCATATTTTCAGCACTTGAATATATGCTGAAATTACTATTGTCCTTTGTATTAATTTTTGTCAGCAGAGAAAGTGCTCCAATAGAAGGAAACCTAATAGTGGTGGCTTTTGGGGGGTGAAAGGGGTGTGTATTAGAGGGGGTGAGGTTGAATGGAGTCCAGCATATATAGGCATGGAGCGTGGAGATACAACAATGACATTCCCATTACCACCACCACCCTTGCTTTATAATTGAAAGAAAGTGTTGCCAAAAATGGGTTATATATGAGACTCCTTTTTCTGCTCTTCTCTGTCTTTCAGCTATTACTCCAGACACAGCCTTGTCTTTAGAAGGCAAAGGACGTCTGGATTACCACATGAGCCAGAATGAGAAGAGGGAGCATCTGCTGAGGCAGAGCCTGCGAGGGGCCCCAGTGGAACCTTATGGTGTGAACAGTCTGGAAGTCAAATTCAGGACAAGAAGTGAGAATGGAATTTTAATCCACATCCAAGAAAGCAGCAACTACACAACAGTGAAGGTAGGATGAACGCTTATGGTGACTTCATCATGGGGGTATGGGGGACTGCCCATGGCATCGCTCACCTCTTATAGTGCCTAGACTTTTCTTTGCAAGCTCTTAGAGGGCTCACCAAGGCAGGACTCCAAGCCAGAAGTGGAGGTATGGCTTAAGTGGTAGAGTGCTAGACTTGAGTGAAAAACCAAGCAAGAGCAAGAGACCCTGATTTCAAGACCAATTATGGGGCTTTGTGGGAGTCTATTTTGCTTGATTAAATTTTTAATAGTGGGGCTTTGCCTAGCTTTAAGCAAAGCAAAGGAAAACCATACAGTGCTGACTTGTGGAATTGAAACTCCCCCCAAAATTGTACAGCTATATAAAAAAAGACATGCTGTGGTTTTGAAATAGAAAGCTCATCCTTGCCCCCACTGGAAATTAAACATGAAGAGTAGGTTGTTTGTTATATGATTAGAGTAAATATTCCAGATTAAGATTCTAGAACTTTATTTAGGAGTATATGTTCAAGTCACAAGCTAGGCAAACTATGAAATTACCTATATGTGAACCTCATCTCTCCAAATAATGTTAAAGCATTATCTGTATAAATCTACATGCCAACAATTATATATAAATTTTAGTAAATTATTTATATTTGTGTGTGTCATTAATTGGGCCTGAAATCAGGACTGGGTGCTTTTTTACTCAAACTATACTTTACCACTTGAGCTCTTTCTTTAAAAATATTTTTTATTTAGTTTTAAGTAGTTATACAGAGGGGTTTCACATTCCCCATGTCAGTTTGTGAGTGCAATGCATCTCTGTTGAAGCCCTCCCCTTCCAACTCCTCTCTCATCTCTCCTAACCTCACCCACCCCTCAAGTGACTGGGTTCCATTTTCACATATGCACATTGAATATGATGACTCTATTTGTGCACTTGTCCTCTCTCCATCATTCTCCTGCATGTGGAGCACTTTAATAATCCTCAGTGTTGGACTATATCTTTGCTCCAAAGCAGTTCTGTTGTTTCTCTAAGTTTATTTAGATAAATGAAGATATAGGGTAAATTATATATTCTCAGATCTATGGATTTAAAACTAAATAAATTAATAAACTTATAAACAGCAGCAAAACATCATGATAGTATTTGGAACATTAGGAAGGCTGTGTTAGGTGGAGTGCTGCAAGAGAGAAGATAAACATTAAAAACATTAGTGTGGGAAGTTCTCTTCTTGTCAGTCTGTTTATACATTTGGCATATGGAAAATGCCCTTCTAATAGACATTCATTGATGGAGAGATACATAGGAGAGACACACAGCTGGGTGAAAAACCATTCTTATCAAAAGGGATTGACTTTTCTGATCATTAGTTGCTTATACCTACAATTCTAGATACTCAGGAAGCTGAGATCTGTTGAGCTCAGTTCAAAGCCAGCCTGGGGAGATGAATCCAAGAGAGTCATATCTCTAATTAGCCAGTAAAATGTCAGAAGAGGAATTGTGGTTCAAGTGGTAGAGCACCAGATTTGAGTAAAAAAGCTAAGCAAAACTGTGAAGCCTTGAGTTCAAGCCCTAGTACCAACACAAGAAAAAAGACATTGCTGTTTCTATCATGTATCCTTACTTGCTGCTCACTGTTATAATTATGTTAAATGTTATTTAACTTCAATTCCTCTATCTTTTCTGCTATGTGAATTTGGTATTGATACACACACACACACACACACACACACACACATACACACACACATTCTATCTGGAAAGAGTGCTTTCATAAAACATTACTATATGACCAACGTACGTAAATGCATTCAGCATATTTTGCATGAAGTACCAATGTGCTGATTTGGAGCTCACCCAGATGCCTACATTGCATGGAGAAACAGCATTTGATCTGAGTCACACAGTGAACAGCTCTGTCTTTCCATTTCCTCTATTCAAGGCAGGATGCCACTCACACTAGCGCCAAGACACCAGCTTTATCTGGCAGTGGAATGGTACTGTGCTCCCTGAAACAAATGTTCATCTAGCTCATGAATTATTCCATTTTTTAAATTGGTCTACTCATAGGGAATTGAGCTTGGTGGCTGCTCACAGGAGCAGGGCATCTGTGTCTTCTGGGTTTCTCTAGGGAGGGGAGGTAAACTAACACCTTAGGAAACATGAAAAAGCAAACCCAACCCAAAAAGTCATCTAGCCTTCCATGATCAACAAGTCATTCTTTGCTCTTCAGTTTCATTCCAAGAAATGTTATAGCCTAGCTATTTAGTTGGTTGAGAGCTGAAGATCACTCTCTGAAGCTAGCCTAGGGAGAAAAGCCCAAGAGACTTCTACCTCCAATTAACCAGCAAAATGCTGGAAGTGGAGCTGTAGCTCCAGTGGTAGAGCATCAGCACCGAATGGAAAGGCTAAGGAATAGTGCCCAGGCCCTGAGTTCAAGACATAGCTCCTACACATATACATGTACCAAAAGAAATAACACATCATTTCTTTCTTAAAATTATTATACACATCATTTCTTTCTTAAATTTCCAATGGGTAATAGATGAGAAGGCAAAGAATTTATTTTGGTCTTGATTTTTCCAACTATACTTCTTTTATACTGAGTACTCATTTTGTATTTTGCAAGTGATAATAGCATTTTTGATGGCCATAGGGTATTTGTCAAACTAGACAAAATACATGAAATATTTGATATTGAAGTAGAGTATTCCCAAAAGATGTTATTTATCTAAATAGCTATTCACTCCATTATTAAATCGTGTTCTTATAAAATAATTCTGTGCATCTCAAGAAGCTAAATATAGACAAAAGCTATTGATGGAGAATATGAAGAACAATTGCATTTAATTTCTTGTTCAAAAGTTATTATATAAGCCAGTTTCTGGTGATTGATGATTGTAATCCTAGCAGTTCAAGAGCATGAGAACCTGAGTTCATACCCTAGTCCCAACACACATACACACACAAAGTTATTATTTAAGATTTGCACACTGTGTTATACTTTACAAATAGGACCATACTAATGCTCAAACAATGTATTCAAAGAGTAGCTTCAGTAATGCAAATATAAATGTAAAATGTAAAAAAAGAAAACTACTGAAAGTACTAAATAGTAAGTTACTACCTAAAATTGCAGAAGATACATGCTAACACCGTCTAATACTAGCAGAGATACTTTCTTTATGCAGACTGCTTAGATGAATCAGTCTTTTAAAAATTCAATTCTAAAGCTGGCTGCCAATGGCTCATGACTATAATTCTAGTTACTCAGGAGGCTGGGATCTGAGTATCACAGTTCAAAGCCAGCCTGGGCAAGAAAGCTCAAGAGACTCTTATCTCTAATGAAAAGGCAGAAGTAGAGCTGTGGCTTGAGTGGTAGAGCACTACCACTGAGCAAAAATGCCCATAGACAGCTTGCATGTACACGTGTACACACACACTCACACACAGATTCAGTTCTATAAGTTTGAATATTTAAACATGTATTTCATTTGGTCTTATTTTTAATTAATTTTTTTGACAGATCAAGAATGGGAAAGTACATTTCACTTCTGATGCAGGGATTGCTGGGAAAGTGGAGAGAAATATTCCTGAAGTTTATGTTGCGGATGGACATTGGCATACTTTCTTAATTGGGAAGAATGGAAGTGCCACGGTATTGTCCATTGACAGAATGTATAGCAGAGATATCCTTCACCCCACTCAGGATTTTGGTGGTCTTGATGTGCTCACCATTTCTCTTGGTGGAATTCCACCCAACCAAGCTCACAGAGATGCCCAAACAGGTAATTGCTTGAGTATAGCCATGAAAGAAAGGGAAAAAACATGTTCTCAGTTGGGAATTTTTGTGACCAAGCAGGTAGAATTTGCTTACTTAACAGGAACTCCCAACTCAGGATGATTTGTTGCAATAAAGGGTTTTGCAAAAGTAGCACCAGTGAAGATGGCTTTAAGACCACCTCAAGTGCATTTAGAAAGTTTAGAAACAATAAATGCCGGCCATCATCTCCTTTATTCATTTATATCTATTCTACCAAGGTCATAATTCACCCCTTTTTATGCTTTGCTTGTCTGCTGAGCTAGTGTTTACTCATTCCTGAATTCGTAATTATGCTGTCCATGGGGCATGTGAGAAAAGGGAGACAAATGTTAATCAAACCCTTACACAAATCAATATAGTATTTTAACTTAACAAAAATGATGTGAAGGATGGATGCAAAGTAGTAAGAGAACGTGAAGGAAGTAATGGAAACCTTTGTACACTTAAATGTGAATGATGAAGCCAGGTGCTGGTGATTATGTCTGAAATATTTGCTATTCAGGATGCTGAGAAATCAGATGGCAGTTCAAACCAGCCTGAACAGAAAAGACTCTTATCTTCAGCTAACCAGAAAAGCTTTAAGTGGAGATGTGGCTCAAGTGATAGAGCACTAGCCTTAAACCAGAAAGCTCAGTAACAGTGTCCACCCCCTGAGTTCATGCCCTAGGACCCCACAAAAAAAGTAGACAAAGGAGAGAGCCATGATGTGTTCTAGAAAGTTAAACGAATCACTAGTGTTTTTTTTTCATGCTTGGGTGTTCCACCCACTCTGTTGATATTGCATGACCTTGTAGCTGAATCTGTTGGCCTACTTTTTTTTTTTTTTGGTGGTATTGCTGTTGTTAGTGATTAAAAAATAATTTGGATTGTGTGCCATGTTCCCTTCAAGGGGCTTGATCTCAAAAGCCTTGTGTTCTGACTTGGCTTTTTCCACTCAAGACTGGTGCTCTACTACTTGAGCCACACCTCCAGTTCCAATTTTGGCTGGTTAATTAGAGTTTTCCCTGGGCTGGCTTTGAACAGTTATCCATCTCAGCCCCCTGAATAGCTCAGATTACAGGGTGAGCCACCAGCACCCAGAATTGGATTTAGTTCTAAGTAGCAATTTAAAGTACACAGATTGCAAAAGCAGAGCCAGAACATGATTAAACCGAGCAAGAAAGAGATTGAAGACACTGAAGTCTGTTTGGCTAATTCCTAAGGCTTCAGGTGGTATAAACCAGTCCCTTCTGCACTTTGGGAAACTTTACTCACCCTGCTGACTCAACTCGCTTGGATTTCCCATCTTTTAGCTGGAGGGCGGAATTAACTCTAGTTTCTAAGGATCGGTATGGGCGGCTTCTCAGGATGTGATTGGGCGGCTTCTCATCTCAGGTTACTCTTCCTTGCAGGGCTCAGCGGCTGCATTGCTTGGGTGTTATATGGAGGTGAAAGTCTCCCTTTCAGCGGGAAGCACAGCTTGGCCTCCATCTCGAAAACAGATCCCTCGGTGAAGATCGGCTGTCGCGGGCCCAACATCTGTGCCAGCAACCCCTGCTGGGGCGACCTGCTGTGCCTGAACCAGTGGTATGCATACAAGTGCGTTCCTCCTGGGGACTGCGCCTCCCACCCATGCCAGAACGGGGGCAGCTGCGAGCCTGGCCTCGTCTCGGATTTCACCTGCAGCTGCCCTGAGTCGCACACGGGGCGGACCTGTGAGACCGTGGTGGCCTGCCTGGGCATCCTGTGCCCCCAGGGCAAAGTGTGCAAGGCTGGGAGTCACGGAGGGCACGTGTGCGTGTTGAGCCCCAGCCCGGAGGAGATCTCGCTCCCCCTGTGGGCCGTGCCCGCCATCGTGGGCAGCTGCGCCACCGTCCTCGCCTTCCTGGTCCTCAGCCTCATAGTGTGCAATCAGTGCCGAGGGAAGAAAGGCAAGAGTCCAAAGCAGGACAAGAAGCCGAAGGAGAAGAAGAAGAAGAAAAAGAAGAAGAAAGGCAGCGAGAACGTCGCTTTCGATGACCCAGACAACATCCCTTCCTACGCGGATGACCTGACAGTGAGAAAGCAGCCCGAGGGGAACCCCAAGCCGGACATCATCGAGCGGGAGAACCCCTATCTCATCTACGACGAGACGGGGCTCCCCCACGGTGCGGAGACTGTGCCCAGCGCGCCCCTGGCCTCCCCGGAGCAGGAGATCGAGCACTATGACATCGACAATGCCAGCAGCATCGCGCCCTCGGACGCCGACATCATCCAGCACTACAAGCAGTTCCGCAGCCACACGCCCAAGTTCTCCATCCAGAGGCACAGCCCGCTGGGCTTCGCCCGGCAGTCCCCCATGCCCCTGGGCGCCAGCAGCCTCACCTACCAGCCCTCCTACGGGCCCGGGCTGAGAAGCGGCTCGCTCAGCCACTCGGCTTGTCCCACCCCCAACCCTCTGTCTCGACACAGCCCAGCGCCTTTCTCCAAATCATCTACTTTCTACAGTAACAGCCCAGCCAGGGAGCTCCATCTTCCTCTGAGAGATGGAAACACCTTGGAAATGCACGACACCTGCCAACCTGGCCTTTTCAACTATGCCACGAGGCTGGGGAGGAGGAGCAAGAGTCCGCAGGCCATGGTGGCTCACGGCTCCAGACCCGGGAGTCGCCTCAAGCAGCCGATTGGGCAGATTCCGCTGGACTCCTCCCCGCCGGTGGGACTCTCCATCGAAGAGGTGGAGAGGCTGAACACCCCGCGCCCGCGGAACCCCAGCATCTGCAGTGCCGACCACGGGAGGTCCTCGTCAGAGGAGGACTGCCGACGCCCGCTGTCCAGAACCCGGAACCCGGCCGACGGTATTCCGGCTCCGGAGTCTTCCTCCGACAGCGACTCGCACGAGTCCTTCACCTGCTCAGAGATGGAGTACGACCGCGAGAAGCCGATGGCCTACATGTCCAGGGTGCCCAAGCTCTCCCAGGTCAACGAGTCGGACGCCGATGACGAGGACAACTACGGCGCCAGGCTGAAGCCTCGGCGGTTCCACGGGCGCCGGGCGGAGGGCGGCCCCGCGGGGCCCCAGGCGGCAGCCGCGGGCGACGGCACGCTGAGGCCGGGCCAGCCGGCGGGCGGCTTCAGCTGGGACAGCCTCCTGAGCTGGGGGCCCGGTTTCGGCCACTATGCTGATGTCTTCATCGACTTGGCGTCTCTCCCAGAAAAGGCGGCTGGCAAAGAAGAAGCCGGGGCCGCGAAGCCCGGCCCCGCGGAGGGCGAGGCCGAGCAGCGCGCGTGAGACGCCCGGCCGGGGAGGGGGAAGCCAGAACCCCCGACCCGCGGGGCGATCGCGGACCGAGTGTGTACCCCACTCACAGAGGGCCCTCGGAGGCCCTCGGTGGACCGACGCGTGGAAGAGCAAACCCCAGGCTGCTGAGACAGACTCGAAATGACTCCTAATTTAATCCTGTTCCGTTGTATTTTTTGCCTGCATGCTTGGTGTTTGGTAACCAGTCACATGGCTTGCAACGTTGGGCAAGTTTGGCTGATGAATCAGTGTTTGGTTGTTGTGATTTTTCTTTTTTGGGGGTTAATGAGTAACGGTTACCATTACAGAAATGGCGGGGGATGTGGTAGGGTTTCCATTGTGTTGTTATGATTACGTTTTACATGGCAAGATCCTTGAGATGCAGCCCGGCCCTTGTAAAGTATAGAACAAAGCTTTCCACTTGTTTTGTGGAAGACTACGTATTAACACTTTTCAGAACTAGAGCTTGCGTATTCAGTGGTGCTTAGAAATGGTTCAGTTTGCTTGCGTGTAATTGGACATTGGGTACTGAAGTTAAGTCAGCACTTTCATGCTTTCTGACGAAAGGGTGTTCAAACATGCGCACCTCTCTGCGGATCAGTTGCGGCCCTCTGACTTTTCCTCGCTCTTCCACGAGGAACCAAGGACTGTATTCTGTCCCCAAACATGGCTACCTTCCTAGTGTGAAACCTGTAAAAGTTATTTATTGAAATAAAAAAGTTCTATGCTTTTAACATTTAACAAATTGAATTAAACAAAGCTATGATTGGACTGACATTTTCCATCCATTTAGCATTCACCCCAAGTACCCAGGTTTAAAAAAAAATAATTTATGTAAAGTCCAATTGCAATACTTTTTACTTCCTGTGATTTTTGTAGATCATGTTTTTAATACTGTGTGTAAAGTCTTTTTTATTTTTGTTTTTGTTTTTTTACACCTGAGCTGTGTTTTTGATAGATATTTTCCTATGCCTAATGATTTTCTTACTTTCAGGGAAGGTAAGAAAAGACTTTTTTTATATTTGTTACTTATGTAACATTCCTATTTTCCACATTTTTGATATTTGTAACATATGGTATGCCTTTCTACTTTGTAAATGCCAACAATAGAATTAAATATTTATTTAAAATACATTGTATTCATGTCCTGTACTTGTTAATAGGGACTGTTACATTGAATTTAGTGGGACAGCAGCATTTAAAAACTAAAACTACCATAGTGGCTCATGTTTGTAATCCTAGCTACTCAGGAGATAGAGATCTGAGGATCATGGTTCAAAGCCAGGTTAAGCAAGAAAGTCTTCAGTTAACCAGCAAAAACAATCAGTCAATTAAGTGAAGATGTGGCTCAAATGGCAAAGTGCTAGCCTTGAGCAAAATAGCAGGACTATAGGACATTTTCCAGAAGAGATGCCACAAGGTCATTTTAGTGCATTCCTACTAAAATGAGCACAGAGCTAGTGGATTCTTCTGGGATTTGAGGAATATAGACTAGTTTTGTCTTACAAGACTGATATTACTAGGAATCTACATTAAATATTCCACTATTGAATATTTGTAAGTTCTTCTTAGAATATTTTCACTGAAAGCCATCTTGGGGCTGGGCATATAGCAGCAGCAGTGAATTAAAACTGATCTGGAGAAGCACCTAGTTTTCATTTCCTCCACCAACCCAGCTCAGAATTTCATAGCAGTCAACGATCTCTTCCATGTTTTAATCTTTAATTTATGGATCTCTCTGAATGCATTCTACAGGCTGTCTAATGGCAAGTCTATTTTCCAATATTCCTGAATAGTGAAAACAACCCAGAAGAGAACGGCAGAGAGCATGAGAGAATTGTTTCTCAAGTAGCCACACTGAAGTGTCAAAGTTGCTGGAAAGACCATGCAACCACAGAATATTTTAGAATCAGATACCACCATCAAATTTAATATTTATGGACAACATATTTCTACACTAATGAGTACATGGAAAACATTTTATAATGGAAATATTTTAAAATCAGCACCAACAAGTTGAGATAAAGGACAGAATTATTTTGGCACTTAATAATGCTGACATAATTATTTTTGCTTCAGAAGAGAAAAAAGGTCAAATACAAAAATCATAGTATATGCTGAATGTGGTTTGGATACTGAGTGTTGAACACTAATTTTCTATCTCTTATTTTTTGATTGCCTATGATGAGCCAACATGGTTTCAATTTTTTAGTTTCCCTATGAAATTTCAGCATCATGAGTTTATTCTCCAAATATGGGAACATGTTGATGTTTTGTGTAACTAGAAACAATGGTGTTTTTTTGTTTTTGTTTTGTTTTATGGAGAAACTCCCAAACATCTAAATGTGCTCAAGGTTATAAACTCTAATTCAGAACAGAGTTGATAGTATCGAAGCACTCAGGGAAGTTAACTTGATGCCCAGCTTTTTTGTATTCTTTTTCTCTTAATGCTTTGTGAGATAGAGCAAATTCTCTTGAATTATGGATCTGAGTGCAAGACCAAGATAGTATTCTTATAGGAAAACACCTAGTATTTTTCTTCTTCACAGAATCTTTTTCAGTGAAGCAAGAACAATATTTACAGCAAACTAGATCAGAAATTTAATAAAAGATTTCACTGAAAACAAAGATGGTTAGGCACAAGTACTCCTACCTGCAATCCTAGCTACTCAGGAGGCTGTGATCTGAGGACTGTCCTTCAAAGCCTGCAGGACTTTGAAGGAAAGTCCCTGAGATTCTTATCTCAAATTAACAAGCAAAAAGATGGAAGTAGAACTGTGGTACTCATGGTAGAGCAGAATAGTTAAGTGAAATCTAGAGGCCCTGAGTTCAAGCCCCAATACTAGCACCAAAAAAAGAAAAAAATGGAGATTAATTTACTGAATTATGAAGTAATGTGGCACACACAATTGGGCTGCATTATTATAAACAATTTGACAAAGTAACAATCTCCATAAATAAATGGATGGTACTGAACTGTGGTTCACACACAAAATCAAGCATTAGAATTCAAATTGCTCCCAGTCCCTCAAAGGTCTTTTGGGATTTCATGGTGTATACACTCAATACCCCCTGCATCTTCTCCCAGAGAAACATTGCCTGCAAACTGAAAATACCCCAGGTATGTGGTCCTGATCGTGTGAGGATCAGGGAGTAGATCATGTGATCATAGTCTGGAGGACGGGGCTTAAGAGACCATGAACTCTGCTTGCTTCTTACCAACAGCTTTGCTGTGGCTATCAAGCTGTTTCTAGAATTTTCTAAATGAGCAGATTCTTGGATAGCTTATTAAGATAAATTAAAACCACTTTAACAAATGGAGAACTAGAAGAGCCTGGAGAACAACTCCCAGTTAAAGTATTAACAAAATGCTTTACGCACAACAAGATTGATGAGAAACATAATGCTTTCAATGTGGAAACTTGGGTTCTTTATAAATATTTTATTTGTAAGGGAAACTAAGTTACATCCCTTGAAACTTTATTAGTTCCTGAGATTCCATCAAGAGTAAATCACTATTGTGACATAAATGCATTTTATTTATCTGGAATCCCACACAATGATAAATCTATGAGCCTCAGAATGAATTTTAAATATTGGAATCAATAAGTTTTGCTGTTATTCTTTTTCCCACTTTATTTGGGTCATAACTTCAAGATGACTGAAATTATTTGCCTTATGAAAAGGAAGCCTACAAAGGGAATATATTTTAGCCCATTATTTAGGCTTTCTGTATGCCATAAAGCATTACAATCTGTCATTAATCAAGCTTATGTCCCTTATGTAATGGCCAGTAGTTTAGTGTGTGTGTGTGTGTGTGTGTGTGTGTGTATGTGGTTAATTGGAGGTGAGTCTCTTGGACTTTCCCTCCATCCTCAGATCTTAGCCCCCTAAGAAGCTAGGATGGTAACCAGCAAATCAGCCAAAAATCTTAATGATTTGTCAATACAAGTGTTACCACTACACCCAAATGGCTTTGAATAGATTTTATTGATGGATAACATTTATAGGTAGCTCCACTATTGTATCACTGATAAACTGTTTTCAAAGCTTGTTATTTCAGGAGGATATATGTATAGTGTCCTAAAGTGGCATTGTGATATAAACATATATTTCTAACATTAACCATGAAAACTCTTGGAAGAAATCTTTTATCAGTAGCATCTAAATGAAGAACCCATAATTGTGTCAGAAGTCACAGAAATTATAAGTTCTTAAAATGTGTAAATTGAAACATGTACAGATAATCTAAATTCTGAACATATTAGACAAAGGGCTGACTCATGAAATCTTCAGGTATTGAATATTCAAAGTTGATTCACCAGGATGAATTCTTGAAGGAATGGGAAGAAACACAGAGTGTTTTAAGCAGCATTGTGAGAAGGCAGGTGATCCTCAGGTGACCCAGTTGGATTCTTCCAAGTTTGTCAGTTGGTTTTCCAACTCCCAAATCAGTAACCATGATATCCTGATAGAAAATAAGGATCATGATCCATGTAACATTCTAGAACAAATAAAATACCCAGTGATGTACAAAGTTTCTTGGCAATGTTGCCAGGTTCTCTGTGTCAAATTGAAACCATATTTTCTGTGGTACAGATGCTGAACAAACTTAGACTCCCATTTTCCCATACCTTGTCATCTTCCCTCTGGTTTCCTTGTGAGCTTCTTGTCATTTCTGAATCAGGATGCCCTAGGAAACAGTTGTGCCATCCACATGTTTGGATCTAAAATATGAAACAGTGTAGGAAATGGTCTTTTAAGAGCAAAAAGTAAAATAAAAAAACACAGTATGATTAAAACAACTCCATAGTCCACTTAAGAAAAGTGCTCATTACTTTACAGTCTGCAGGAAAAGAAAGTCACTGTGTATTGACTGAATCAGAGGAAATGCCAATCAAAAAGCAGGGTGACAAGGCATATTCTTCACTTTAAGTGATAGATTTTAGAAATGCCTTTGATAAACAGAAATAAAAAAGCAAATGCTCCTC